TCATCCATAAATCCAACTGACACCAGCGGACCTCTATGCGCTTCTCATAGCGACCTTTGTCGCAAAGCCTTTCACAGTGCTATTACGAAACATCCTCTGTAGGCCTCATTAAACTGACCTTAGTTGACAATGGCAAATGGGCTTTGGCTGATGAAGTAGCCATAATTATATGAAGTCAAGCGAAAGGTTTTCGGGTAAGCACGCAAAAATAGCCTTCCCAAAATTCAAGTCGTAAGGTTTATTGAACTTTTGTTGAACGAATGTTAATTTAAGTTTTATATATTTCTTTTTACGCATATCAAATAAGGCAAATCATCCTCTGACCCGGGGCCAAACTAGTTATAAAAAGCCAAAGCCAAAGGCAAAGCCAAAGCCGGTGCCGCCATCGCCATCGCTGATTATGTCACGGCCAAGTGGTTCTAGCCACCTTTTTTGTTGCTCTATGTTAATGACCATGTAGAATCTATGGCCAAAGTCAGGGCCGTGTGCAGATACTCAATATTCATAATTCTTTGTCCAAGCCGAGTTCTTTCAACCTGAGCTTAGCCACTTCAGCGCAGAAGCCCGCGGGCCCATAAATTTAACTATCAGAGCTTTGGAAGCCAGCTCAACCCGGGTTCAAACACCTTTCAAAACTTGTCTAATGAGTTCGAGTATTTATTGATTGCTTCAAGCTAAAGCTAAAGTTGAAGCTGATGCTGAATCGTTTCGCCACATGCTGCGTGCGGCATCTCCGTTTGCGCTCACAAAGATTGCGCAAATGCTCGGCTACAAAATTACTTATAAATTATTGCCAATTTACCCGAATTTCGTTACCTCCAGCTGGTCCCCCGAAGTCAACTAGTTGGATTTGTCGCGATATGCCCGAGCTACATGTGTATCACTCAAGCATTTGCTCATTTCTAATGCTCAACGTGCCACAATTTGTTTACATTTTGCAGTTTGATTAGTTGGAAAATTTACCATCATTTAATTAAATTACTTATGCAGTTGTGCTTACGTATGAACGACAATGAACGGAAATGGCGAGCAATTTGCATGCGGCAACTGTTGCTATTTTTTTTTTCTTTCGTTCACTTAGGCAACACTGGAAGTGAAAGGCGTGTGCCATTTCAATGTAGTATTTGCGCTGCTGTTGCTGCTGCAATCATCGAGGGGGCAGGGCAACAACTCGCGGCTCTCAGCTCGTGAGCTCGTGCCGGTTCTTAGCTGATTTCAAGACAAAATTGCAGTAGACTTCTTTAAGTGTAACTGAAGAGCACTCAATAGAACCGTTTCAGTTACTGTTATGATTTGACTGTTATATTTGACAGCGTTTTTCTTAAACATTGCAAAAACTTCGTCTTTCCTGGCATTATGTTCTTAAGTGAAAGATACTCTTGTTTGTGAAAAGCATAACAACAATACATATTAATTTTATAATTGTTTTTTTTTTTATTTTGGAAGCAGTTCAACTAGTATAAGTTAGGAAGATCGATTTTTGTGGTTACAGTGGCTACCTTATGGGTATGGGTTTTATTTTGGAGAGTTCCACACTCAACTGTAATATACTAATGAAAAAAGTATTTAACCTCTTTTGTTTACCAACAGCATTAAAATTTATATATCAAATATAAAAAATGTAATAATATTTATATTCGTGTGTGTGTGTGTGTGCCACAATATGTTTACATTTGTATTGTATGAGTATGTAAGAATGTATGTAATAGTGTGTGTACGTCTGCATTTTCGTGAAAGTACATACATTCATATTTATTTGGATATGTGTCAATAAGAATATATACCAAAGCAATTTAGACCTTGGCACGTGTTAGCTTCTTGTTATATATATGTAAGTAGAATGAAACACAATAAAGATAAGTATGAACAAAATTAGGTGATTGAATTAAATTTAATCAGCTGCACGTTTTGCAAGCTTATTTTCTCTACTGCTCGAGAATCTATTGTGTTTATCATTATGTTTTTTATTTTTAAATAATATTTCATTGGAAATGAAAAATATGCTCGAATTGTCCTATTTGTTTCGTTTCCCATGAAGAGCATATTGCATTTATTTCATGTTAAATTATTGTTTATTATTAAATGTTTTGTAATCATGGCATTCATGTTAAATTATCCTGTTATGAAAGATCCATACGTTTTAGTTGGAATTTGGCATTACTATCCTTAGTGCAGCGTGGTATAGTTATGGTATCATCCTCATGCGCTGCTCCCACGATCCCCAACACATACAGATGCACAGAAATAGAAATAGAGCTCGTTTCGCAGTGGCACACAAAAAACGCTAACGAACCAAGTGTAGGTCCCTAATGGCAGGCACATGTGCTACGTGGCAGCAAACGAGCTGCAGTCACCAGTCGCCAGTTGGTAGTTGCCAGTTGGCAGTCAGCAACTCAAACTGAAACTAGAATCCAAACAGAATCCGTATTCGAGTCTGATTCGGCAACACCCAGCGTCAAGCACAATGTGTTGACTGTTCCAGCAAATGTCCGAAAAAGAAATCGACGCAGTCACGTAAAATTATTTTAATAATCACATAACTTTCGGCATTTACACGCCATGCGGCCCATTGAGGAGTACTCGCCGGGTAGGGCAAGCAAAAACAAAATGTCAATAAATTTTTTTCCAACAACCAACAAAAAGTTGAACAGAACAACAAGTTAAAGTAAGGGTCGGGGCCGAGGACGAGGGCGAGAGCCAGGGCGAGGGCGAAGCTGACATCCGAAGCAGCTCTTAAGTGGGATTTGCGGCGCACTTTAGTGTCAACTTTAACAATAAGTTGGCGCAGAAAGATGAAGAGTGAGTGCGAGTGAATGAGTGCTGCAAATGTTGAACTGGATTGAGGTAGAGCTGTGGCATTGTCGTCAAACAAAACATTCAGTGTGTGCGCATACACATAAGTAAAATATATTTTGGTACGCAAAACTTTAGGCATCAACTGTGGCTCTGCTAATGAAATAAACACCCACCGCCATTGGAGCTCAGAACTTGAGCTAAGTGCGCACAGCAGGTGGCCAGAAAGTTAAAGCGCATTATGGCCAAGCCAGCGACGGTGTATCCGTCAGATACATTTCATTTACCTGCCTGCCTAGCATTGCTAGCCACATGAAAGTCAGCCTTTCGCTTCTAGGTCTGTGATTTGCACCAGGCATTTGGCCACACTTACCAACTGTCCCGAGATACGGCTCTACTTTCAACCGCTCTGTGAAGGCAGTGCAGTCATTTGAAATAAATTACTTTTTGCACCTGATGAAAACTAAGCCAGCAACTGGTCCACAACAACAGCAGCAGCATCGAGTCGAGAAACTCAACAAAACTCTGCCTAGCATTTTCTTTTTCATTTTTTTCCTATAGCAGCATTTATTGTCATTATTATTTTGATACTAGTTGTTCCACCGTTTATTTTTTGTTTGTTTTTTTTTTTTTTTGTTTTCTTCTTCTGCTGTTGCTGCTGCTATCTGCCTCTAGATTTATGCCAACAAAAGCAAACAGTAAAAAATATTTTGCTTTTAATTTTTTCTTTTGTGATTCCTCGACAGCTGCATTAAAAAAGTTGCCCAAAGAAAACAGTTTGCATTGCAATTTTAACTTGCTTTATTTTTGTTGCTTTGTTAGCTTTGTTTTGTTATCAACCAACAAAACGTAGAATATAAAATAGAAAACAAAATAAGCAGCGAAAATGTTTCAAAAAGTGTCCAGACAAAAATGAGGGGCCAACAAGAGCCTGTTTCCGGTCTGCGGTGACTGGCTTAGCCCTTATGAAGTGGGACCAGCCGAACAAATGGTTCATCTCCTTACAACTTTTTGGCACTGCTCTAGTTATAATAAAAAAACAATTCACAGGTTTATTTATTCAATCACGACTTACAACATTTTAAATTTATTTCATCATTTCATTACTGAAATTTTTCTAAGCAGAAAAGTCAATTTATGACAATCGTAACTACCTTCAGCAGCAGATGTATTTGAATAATTTCGAATTATTCTAATAGTCATACCTTATCTTTATTTGGCAATAAAATATGTCAATCATAATCAATCACTATCAGATAGTAACCCTACCTATTTCTCCAGGTTTATCTGAACCATTATGAAAACCTTTAATTGTCATACCTTGTCTACATTTGGCATTCAAGAAATGTGAATCAATCCGCAATCTAAATTAATCCTCAGATTTCTCAAAAAAAAACTTGAAGTATCCCAATAGTCTTACCTTATCAATAATAGTTATCAATCATGATCAATCACTATCAATCAGTAGCCCTAATTAATCTTCAGTTTTCTCAAAATATTAAATTGTCAAGATCAATCACCATCAATTCGTAAACTAAATTACTCTACAGTTTTCTAAAAAAATATTTTAATTATTTCAATAGTCTTACCTTATCTATATTTGGCATTAAAAATGTCAATCTTGATCATTTGCCGTCAGTCAGTTACTTTGAATATTCACAAAAATTCGAAATGAAAATTTTTATAGAAATTCTCTCTCATAGTTCAACGTTTTATGCAGCTACAGTTTAATAAAGTCACAAAGTTTAAGAACCCCACTGTGCAGTCTGTATACCTTCACTCCCATATTGTTTGTTAATTTCTTGTATAATTTTTATAGTTGCTTTCTTTGCTGCATTTCATTTGCTGGAGCTCCCTTGCCCTGCTTCATTCTCTGCTGTTTTGTTTTGGCTTTTCAGAACTTAATTAAATGTTGTCACAGCGCATACTTTGTAGTTTTTGCTGGGGCAGCCAAAGGGCAACGCCTGCAAGAGCAACAACAACAAACAGAGCCAGGGAACCGGATGGGCGGGATAGTTGGGCCAGTTGTGAGGGTATCTTAGTCTGTGTGTGACGGCGATTCGAAGTGTAAATGAAATAATAGCTGCTAAAAACCAATTTGGCGTAAATTACAAAAGCTTAACGAGTATATAAATACAATGCTTGAGCTGACAAGGGGCAACCTTTGACTAACAATGTTTCAATCATTTTTCTCTTCTATTTTGCAGTTCCGTGGAGCTGATTGCACTGCTGGCCATATCGTGCACCTTTTTTCTGTTCATGCACACAAACAAATTAAACAGTCGACTCAAGGAAATGGAGGTGAAGCTACAGCCATCCGAGTTCTCGGCCCTGGGACTAACTGGCAATCACATAAGCGGACATGATGCGGGCAGTAAGTAACTAAGATATGAATCTAAGCACTAACGCATCTTAAACCCTCTGCCTGTCTGAGACAAGGCCGCAAGCCTTAAACTGTGTCAAAGTTTTCGCTCGATTGTACATGCTGCATGCGTAGATACAGATACTAATGCAGCTGTCAGATAAGCCCTTTGCACAGGAAGCCAAAAAACAAACACACTCACATACATATATTATATTCAGTAGTTACTGCTGCTACGCCCAATTGATTTTTAATGACCACATTGACCCGGCCTATAAACAAAGCTCCAAATGATTTTTTGTTAACACTTTTTGTGCAATGTTTTGGCTGGCAAACCATAAATTAGTCAAACGTTTTAAGCCAAATTAGTGCCCCATTCTTTATGCATGCATTAATTATAGTAAAATACATGCACACACTAACTCAGATAAAATCGCCACCAAAAAGCTGCTAAATTAAAATAAACATAATAAATACATATTGGAGATATGTTCACAGATGCAGTGCCAATAGCGCCGCGGCCAATTTATAATAATAATAATATGCACGAGCCAGTGTACATATGTACTTATACATGTATCTATTTTTCATATTTTAGTATATTCATTAATTATTTAGGCATGCCAGCGAGCAGCTTCTCCCTGTGGGTCGGGTTCAGGGATCCTAACAGCAATTTAACCTTTTGATATGCGTCGGAATATATGCATTTGTTAGATTAGAAAAAATACATATATAAATAATGCAGCATATTAAAATATAATTATTAATTCAATTAGTAAATATGTATAAGCCAACTAGAGCGGGTGCAATTTTAAGCTGCAGAAATTGTGGATTATGTGATTCCATGGAAATGTTATAAGCCTTGAATATGTTTAATGCTAGATAAATAACATTTAATCGAATCATATTAGAGTTCATGTGGTTATTACTTGAGGTAGTTTCTATATAGTTCCCAGAAGGCTAAAGACAATATTTCAAGTATTTTCATGACCATAAACTTCTACTTGATCGCAATTTTATCCTTGACTACAACACAACACAAATGTTCAGCCACAAACGGCAATTGTGAATACAATGTTACAATTATGATTATGAGGCATTATACAACAAAAAATATATATATTTTTGTATAATGACCAGAAACTTTGGTATCATTAAAGTAGAGCTAACATTGCATATGTCAATTGAAACTTCTGAAAATTATTTGGCTGAGCGGCTCTTGACACGGTTCTTTTTTTTTTGTTTGCTGGGGTCAATGTGCTCCACTTGAGTCAAGAAGAACGCGGCTATTTTTGTATTTAATGATTTTTAGCTGACACAGCGCACTTGAGGATGTCATTAGAACGTTGTTAGCTGAGCCCATACTTATGCCCAGCCAACTAACTAATAACTCTATTATTAGCCAAGCTGCAACTGTGAAATACGAGCCGAAATCAAATCAAACTTTCCGCATGCAAGACCCTAATTTCAATGCCGGAAGCTTGGGTTCGTCTAGGCCTGCAATCCACTTGCAAATTAGTCGGAGCTGCTTGCGGCAGCTGCCACTGACGAAATACTAGTTGAGTATGCCAAAAACCTGGTTGGCTGATCCATACGTGCTAGTTATGTAGGGGGTTGGATACGGGGATATCGCGACACGGCTGCTTCACGCCTAAGTGCAGTGATTGCCACTAACAAAAGCCAAGTGAGCACTGCACAGTGGTTTGAAAGCTCCAAAATGATTATGCAAATCAGCACAAACAATTCGATTTGGGTTCGGTTTTGCATATTTTTGTTTATTTACTTTAAATTCACAAAATAATTATGAAACGAATGTATTTTCAATTTATAATTGTCCGTTGTACTGAGAATATTGCCAAACGTAAATATTTTCATATGCAAGATGCGGGCTATATATGCTAGCTACACCACTTAAAGTATAATAATCTCCACAACAATATTTGAATTAAAAGTCTTGTGACAAATATTAATTTTTGTAATATATCACCTACTAATTGTCTTACCAAATAATGTGCATATCTGAACCACTGTGCAGCAGTCATGTGATCATGATGTTGATGGCTCCGACTCGAACCCCAGCTCTGTCGTCGCGACGTCTTGAAGATGCGCTCTAATACAATAGTCAGCCAGTTGTGGGTTGCCATTGCGCAGCTTTTGCTGCAGCTATTGTTGTTGTTGATATTATTGCTGTTGTTATTGTTGTTGTTGTTGTTGCTGCTGTTATTGTTGTGTTTGGCGCTGCGACTGCGCACGCGTCGATTGCGCCGCAGCGAGCCCAGACGACAGCTACAAATTGTCTGGTTGGGCCCAAAGCAATGCGAAATGGCTAATGGCCAAAAATAAAAGAAAAACCTTAGCCCGACGTTGATGAGATATATTATTGTCTGCGCTGAAAAGCCAAAAAAGAAAAGTGCAACAGGCATTTAGCTTTAGCCAACCATTCATTCATAAATATTTCATATAATTGACTCACACGACTTTGAAAAAAAAACACGAGTACACTTAACGTACTCACGTAAGACAAGCTGATGACACCTCCAGTCGCCAGTTTTGTTTAGTTTTATATTTTTTGTGTTATTTATATTATTTATTATAAGCAGCAGCATTGAACTTGACTTGGGCTAATTAACAACCAAGGCGAATCGTTAAGTTGTGCCGTGTAATGCAGTGTTGTGTGTATGTGCGGTTAATTTTTGCTCTAATGAACAAATTAACAAGCTAGCAGACAGTTTGAAATTCTAAATGAAAAATAAATATAGTTGAAATGTGCGCACATAGAACTTTTCAACTACAGGGTGACGACGTTTTGTGTTTAGAGTAAAGTGTTCAGAGTAAAGTACTTCAAAATATTTATTCAAGTATCAGGCATATTGATTTATTTTAAATATATTTTTAAGTCGAATCAAAATTACATTGATTTTATTCATTGAAAATTTGTAAACAAAGCCTCTTGCAATTTTATTTCTAATTAAATATGAGCACATATCTTTAGTTCAAATCCACGACAACTTTGACTGCATGCAAACCAGTTTAATGCAGTTGGCACAAACGAGTCGTAAGTTTTTTTCAATTGGAGCACCCGATATCCAATTAACCAGGTATTTGGCCTTTGGGCTGGTCCCCAGTATAATATAACTCTGTTTAAGCTGCAAACATAAAACTACAAGCAACAGTTGCTTAGATAATATGAGTTTTAGCATGTTTTCTTTTCAATAAAGTTTTCTTTTTGTAGTTTATTAACTGTGTGTCTAAATGTTGCAAGTCTTTTTTTAAATTTATTTTAAAGATTTATTGTTGAGTTATTTTGTGCAGCCGTTTTTTTAAATCCTACCAGTAGCTAGATTCTAACTTGTACAAGCCAATAATTTTCAACTGCAATTGACTTTAAGTGGCGCTCCATTATTTCTGATTTTAAGACTAAACTGTTGAGCATATCGCTGGCTGCAGTTCCGCCCATTGATTGAGTGGGTACGTAAACTCATTAAGAGACTTTTTGTTCTTTGTGGCTGTCACCTGTAATGTGGTTCACCTTCAATGAATGTTGAAATGGCCAATAGCCGGAGCTAACTTGTGAGTCTGTCAATGAATCGAGAACAGCAAAAACAAGATTTGCGTCATTGTAGACTAATAGAGAGGGGGGTGGGAGTGGATCAGCTGTAACAACTACATAAGAAACTGCATGCATGTAACCCAATTTCAAGACCACACAAAAAGTGCCAGAAAAAAACTTAAAGCAAAGGCTTCTCCGGTCTGTTTGCGGCCAGGCCAGACCACAAAATGTATTTCACTTTGGTTCAGGGAGTTGGATACGGGTGCGATGCGATGCCAGTTAAAACCAGTTAGACTTGGCGACTTTCATTCAGATCATTCAGTGAAACTGACCATACCAATGACCAAAGCAGACCACATGCACAACAAATCTGGTTTATAGGCATTGGATTTGGACTCGAACTTATGCCGACTTCCTTGTTCATCAGGCTCCAGCGGGCAAATTATGAAATGCTTAGCCGCAAGACGAAAGTGGTGCAAGCAACCCACAATCCACATCACTTCTCACTCCACTCTCGCTCACTCTCTCTCTCTGTCTTTTTTCTTGCCACTCCACTTGAATCGACCGCAGTTGGCCAAAAATCAAGACGTTTTCCGCCTGTCCAAATACTGAATTGCAGCCATTTAGTATGCAATTGCTAGCTCTTAACTCGCAAACCTGTGGACGATGCTGCCAACCTACGCCCGGGCCTGACATATGCACAGGCATTCAAATTTTAATTGCCCTTGCAACACAGTCGAACATGACGGAATACGTGGGGACAGCTTGGAAAGGTTTCATTCGCAGGCTTTTGGGCCCACTTTCGAAAGCGTTGATAAGATATTAAACGCTTGCGTTTTCGTTTAAACGGTACCTGATAACCTGATGGGAAGATCATCCTACATCCCAACTCTCTGGAAAGTGAAAGGAACCTTCATGAGCTTGCATTTTTATTGCACTCACATTTATTTTCCAATTTCTGCCGGCTTGGGAGTAGCAATTCGAAGTGAAGTGCTCTTCCCTATCAAAAATATTGCATAATTTCTTTGTAAAAAGTAAAAGTATTGACGGCATTCAAAGGGGAGGAGTTGGCACTGCCCTGCAGTGACTGTTTAAGGTCGTCGTCGAGGCATGAACTACATAATAGTAATTGAGTGACACAAATTCAGATTTCGCGAAAAAACATATCTAATATGCTGTAGAGTATTGTAGAATAACTGAACTGGCTAATTATCTTTAATGAGAATATCAAACTGTAAATTGTAATTATTTGTTTGCTCCTAGATATTAAATATAATTTATCAGCAGCAATTTGTTCGGCTATAATCAACATGATAGCCCAATAAATTAATTTCATTTTGTGTACAAACATGACTATAACTTCTGCTGCTTGCATTTCAGAACATGACGACATTAATACTCTGCACGGCACCTATCAATATCTGAAGAGCACCGGCCAAGTAAGTCCATTTGGTATAACTATTTTATGATTCGCCTTTGCCATATATATACATGTGTCATACCTAGTCGTAAACATTATTGCATACATTCTGGTTGGCCATAAAAAATCAGCGAAAAACCATCCAAAGCATCAAAGTTCAGCTAAAAACGCGTTGCAAAGGTAGCTGTTCAGCTCCTTGGTGTTTGATATTTTCTTCAAGTGTGTCTTGCCTGCTATTTGCCTCTCACTCTTGCGCTCTCTCGCCCTCTCACCCATCATCGTATAAGCGTTGGCTCATTTTGGTTCCACATTGCAAGCTGCTCATCGAACGTCATAGCACTCTCTCGCTCTCTCTCCCTATCTCTCTCTCTCATTCTCTTTGTCTCTGTCTCACAGCCATACACATACAACATAAACATAAATACAATCAAATAGAAACCTTTGGTAGACTTTAGCTCTCTCTCTCTCTCTCTCTCTCTCTCTCTCTCTCTGTTGCTCTGTTTCTATCTCTCTTACGTATGCTCTCTAGCTGTCTAGTTCAGGCTACGACTCTCTTTGGTCTATCCATGCAGCTCTCTTTACACTAACCCAAGTCTATACTTTGACTCAGTCTTGAAATTTTGTTAGCGCAGCTTTCGTTTTTTTTTTTTTTTTAATTGTGATTGAGTTAGCTGCCAGATGCGCCAGTTGCGACATAGAAGAGATAGAAATTCGATTTATGATTATAAAAATAAACGCTTAAAAGGTAAGTCCACGCAGAGGATTATAATTTAGACAAATGTCAGTTGCGAAACCGCGTTGGCGTCGATGAGTTTAGAGGAAAATAAACAAAAAATATACATAAACTGTGCCCAGGCCAGATGCCTGATGCCTGATACAGGTTACCAGTTGCCCCACTGCCCAATTGTGCCTGTTGCTTCAGCCAAAATCCGCTTATAGCCTCCATCTCTATATGTACCGCTTACTTATGTACTTGTGCTACCCACCCGTCTTTTTTGCTGTGCCTGTGCCTGTGACTGTGACTGTGAATGTAACAACAACGCTTGCAAACTGCATCCACTTTTGCAATCGGGCAGCTACAACACCTGACCAGCACACAGCTGAACAACACGCCGCGGGCCCAACTGGATACACTATTCTTTAATCGAGTACCAAAGGCGGGCAGCGAGAAACTGATGGAGCTGCTTAAGTTGTTAGCCAATCGTAACAAATTCCAGGCGCGTCGCGATCCCAAACACCTATTCGAAACGATACTCATGGATACCGGCTTTGCACGCAATCTGCTCAAAGCTGAGATACTCAATTGCAGCACAGCCAATTCGTATACAAAGCATGTGGCCTTTCTGAACTTTGCCGCATTCGGGCACCCCTGGCCCATCTATATAAATCTGGTGCGGGATCCGGTTGAGCGTCTGGTCAGCTGGTTCTACTATGCACGTGCGCCCTGGTACTTGGCGGATCGTGTTAACGCCTTCGGAAGTGACTATAAAATCCCAACATTGGAATGGCTCCAGAAGGATTTCAATCGATGCATTCTCGAGCACGATCCGGAGTGTGTGTACGAGCAATTGGATACCGGCAATCTGGGAGATCACAGAAGGCAAACCCTGTTCTTTTGCGGACAACAGGCCGAGCTCTGCATGTGAGTAACAGCCGGCCACTAGAGGAGGGGGCTTGCTCGATTTGTTTTCTATGCGCAAGTTTGTTCTAAAGGGTTTTGCTTAATATTAATTTACATCCAAAGACAACTTTGAGATCATATATGGCACTTATTTGGCTTCGGATACTTTCCGAAAAGGTTCCATTTAACAAGTGAATATCTCTTTATTTAAAATACAATTCATATCAGTGAAACAACAATATTTTCCAAAAGCAAACTAGCTACATTAAATGTTGCGACATTAAGGAATAATATTTCAATTATTATCTTAGTTTAGCCCAATAATAATAAGAATAGCATAAGATGGCCTGGTTCAGCCAATCCTTAAATTCTTTTAGTTATGCCCAACTCGTTATAAAGATGGCTTCCAGATAAGCTTTTCTATGAATTTCATTTGAGGCTAGGTCACCGACAACTCATCGAGCAGCCCTCGCAGCATAGCACCTTAGCTCAAACTGCAATCGAAACAACCTTCACAGGCCTTTTAACTCCCAGAAAGCCATGCAGCAAGCCAAACGAAATGTTGAGAATCGTTACGCTGTGGTGGGTACCTGGGAGGATACGAATACTACACTGAGCGTACTGGAGGCATATATACCACGATACTTTGCGGGCGCCAAGGACGTGTACTATGCGATGCGAAGGGATATGGAGAATGTGAACCGGAATGCCTTCAGGCCCACAATCAGCGAACAGGCGCGATCCGTGCTCATTCGGAATCTGACGCAGGAGATTGAGTTCTATCAGTTTGTCAGGCAGCGTCTGAATAAGCAGCATATAGCATTGCAATTGGAACAAGATCGGTCAGTTAGCGGATAAGATTTCAAGAATAAAAGCTACTCTAACTTTCGCTCTGCTTGGTGTTTTCAACCTCTAAAAACTCTTCCAACTGTGTAGTTAGTTTCCCATTGCTGGTAGCAGTTACTGGGACGGGGACTCAAACTCTCAGCCTCTCAGCATAGATCTTTAATAGAAGCCTACTTCATGCAGCTACGTGGTCACAATGTGCACGTGCCCCGAAAGGGCGAGGAGCTGCAACGGCATGAATTAGGAAATTATCAAACAGCTCACCCATCACATAATCATGTGCACAAGGCACTGCACGATAAACAGCTGGCAAGGCCAAAGAATATGCATTCCGAAGATGACGAAGATGACGACGAGGCTGAGGATGATGAAGACGATGAAGATGATGAGCATGGCTACAATATGGCCGCGGATTTGCTCAATAATACCAAAAATGCCGAGGTGGACTTCGTCTTTTTCAATCGCGTGCCCAAAGTAGGCAGCCAATCGCTCATGGAGCTAATGCGGCGCTTGGGCAAGATCAATGGCTTTGTGCACTCACGCAATCCGGGCAGCGCCAAGGAGACAATTATGTTGCCCAAGGAGGGCCAGAAGGATCTGATTGGGGATCTGCTAACGCGGCCCAAGCCGCACATCTATAGCCAGCACATAGCCTATATCAATTTCACCAGATACCATCTGCCTCGACCCATCTACATAAATCTTGTACGGGATCCCATTGAGCGCATTATCAGCTGGCATTACTATGTTCGCGCACGCTGGTATTATAACGATATGAAGGCCAAGCTGGGCGATAAGGCCATAGCAATGCCATCGGATGAGTTCCTCGATCTCGATCTGGACACATGTGTGCGTAACCATGATCCGCACTGCACATTTGAGCAAATGCAGATCAAAAATCCCGTGGGTGACCATCGCAGGCAAACTCTGTTCTTTTGCGGCATGAACAAGAAGCTGTGCATGTAAGTAGCCAGGCGTCTGGAAACAGAAGCACTTTCTGAAACCAACCATCCATTCAACCCTGAGCTAGGCCCTTCAACTCGGAGATGGCCATGCAGAAGGCCAAGCGCACTGTGGAGTCGGAATATGCTGTCGTGGGCACCTGGGAGGACACAAACATCACGTTAACCGTGCTGGAGCATTATATACCACGTTATTTTCGCAATGCCAAGGTGGCCTATTATCGTAAGCGCAATTATCATTCAATTTTTTTTTTTTACAATTTTTGTTGTGGGAAAAAGGATTCCTAACTTTGCGTGGACTTTGCAGTGGGTGAGGAGCGACTCTCGCGTGTCAATCGGAACAATGTCACACGCATCGTGAGCGATGAGACGCGTCAGTTGCTACGCAAGAATCTGACAAATGAGATTGAGTTCTACGAGTTCTGTAAACAGCGTCTATATTTGCAATATGCGGCACTCGGAAATGGCAAGCGCTTTGGCGAGGATGACTATCTGCTGATGCCGGAACTGCGCGGTGAAGATTCGAAAGATGATTATGAGTATTAATCGGAAGTGTATATATAATTTAAGCTGTGCCAACTATTATTAAATAAATTCCTTTGTACAATAACACAACAAATATGCACTTTATTCTGAGCTTAGTAAACGTCTTTAGACGCTAAGTTCGTCTGTGACTTACACTGCTTGGGAATTTTAAGCCCATTGCACTGACAGCACTGACAAATGTAAGCTTTAGCTTTTCGCACACCGCCTCTCTGTATGCTTGTGTTGTTTGTCGCTCTCTTCAACACTCTTCATCCCTAAACTCTTTACAGTTGTGGCAACTCAATCCCAAGCACCTGAACAACACCCTGTTGACCAACAGTGAGCTGCTTTTCTTTAATCGCGTGCCCAGAACGGGAGCTAAAACGCTTCTTGAACTGCTGAGTCGCCTGGGCGAGCTCCACAACTTCATCCTTGAGCATACGCCTTTTTCTAGACCTATTGTCAACCATTTAACTTTTAAGCAGCAATCAGCTCTGGGCCAATATGTTTCAGACCTGGGAGAAAGCTCAGCCTTTGTCTATGTCGAGCCGGTGGGCTATATAGATTTTCGATCTTATCACTTGCCCCAGCCCATCTACGTAAACCTGGTACGCTGTTTGCCAAAGCATATTTCAGTTTATATTAATTCCACGACATTGTTAGGTGCGTGATCCTGTAGAGAAAATTATAAGCTGGTACTATCATAAGCGTACGGCCTGGAATGCTCTTCGCATGTATAAAATTAATGGAAAATTTCAAAAACGCGACTTCTATACGAAAAGTTTTGAGGACTGCGTCTTAAAAGCGGATCCCGAGTGTCGTTATGATTATGCAATGGGCTTTCAGAACGACTCCGGTGATCACAAGCGCCAGAGCTTATTCTTCTGCGGACATGCGCCCCTCTGCGAGTAGGTAACTTCCCAATAGTTCTTAAAACTGAGTTTTTAATTTTCGTTATGATACCTGGACAGACCTTTTAATATACCTGCTGCCATAGCTCGTGCTAAGCAGAATGTCGAGCGGCACTTTGCCGTAGTGGGCTCTTGGGAGGATGTAAACGTTACCCTGGCCGTGTTGGAGCACTATATACCGCGCTTCTTTCGAGGTGTAAAAGATCTTTACTTTGGTAATTAACTGAACTTCTACGAAAACTCAGCTCAACACTAAACCTTTTTTTTGATAATGCAGCAGCCGAGCACCACTTGTCCTTGCCACAACGCAATCATTGGAAGCCGAAAATTAGTGAGCACATCAAGAGCTTGGTGCGTGCTAATTTTACATTGGAGTACGAGTTCTATTATTTTTGTAAGCAACGTTTATATCGTCAATATTTTGCAATAAATCGTCATTTAGAGCTGTAATTAGAGAAGGACAACTCAAAGAGCAATGCGTATCAGATGTGGCTTTCGACTTTTATATCAAAACTCGTCGATAACTTTTACGATCAAACTAGCAGAAAGAAAAAATATATATAGTTGAGATATCCCTTGGTTGTTGTTATGCCAGACAAATCTCATTGTTGGTCAACTGGCATATATCTCTTCTTCGTTTTCGCCCAGGAGGTAAAAACGCGTATTCCTCACAACTTTGATTTAAAACCCTTTAAGCATAGTAATTAGGAAAGAATTGGACTTTCTTATAAATAATTCTTGAAACTATGCTCAACCGTGTTAGGCTGGGATCGTGTATATATATATTTTGCCCGTGTTCGTTCCCTAAAAAAATCAGCCCACGCCCATCTTTTTCGCCGAAATTTAACAAAAATTTGTAAAGTTTTTTTTTAAAGTTGTTAAAAGAGGGAAAATACTATTTAATAGCAACTTACACGGGACATGTACCCTGTATAAAGTCTGATATTGTGCACAAGGAAAGAAGTATGTTTTATTCGCTGCTGTCTAAAATCAAGGATTTGGCTTAGGTATCCGATTTAGTTAGAGGAGTCATTGGATACACTTGTTTTCAAATCTTCCACTAACTCACTTCGTTTAGCTTTCGCCTTAGATCTCTTAGTTTTGACCGGCAGTTGTTCTGTCTTCCATTCAAGCTGGCTAATCTGACAGCAGCACAATTGAACAATACACCCAAAGCCGAACGCGATTTCGTATTGTTTAACCGCTTAGAAAAGGTTGGCAGTCAGAGTATGACAAAGCTATTGGGCCATTTGGGTACTCTGCACGGTTTTGTCACCTACCGCAATGAGATACCGCCTAGCAAGAAAGCCGTATACAATTTTGAAGAGGAGGCGGCTTTCGCAGAGGAACTCATTGAGCTGGAGGAGCCTTCGGTCTATGTGGAGCACACCAACTGGATCAACTTTACGGCTCACGATATGCCCAGGCCCATTTACATAAATCTCGTGCGGCATCCTATACAGAAGGTAATGAGTGCCTATTACTATCATCGCCATCCTGTGGTCTATGCCAACAGCCTGTTGCGCAATCCGAATAAGCCGAAGCAGAATAAGGAGTTCTTCGACAGGAGTTTCAATGATTGCGTCAGACAGCGTATAGCTCCCGATTGTGTCTTCGATCCGCACATACCCTACAATAAAGACTGGCGAAGATTCAGTTTGCATTTGTGTGGCAATCAGAACGTTTGTGTGTAGGTAATGCGCCAAAGTGTTGAACTGCCGATGGAATAATTGTCGCTATTCCCTAGGAATTTCAACTCTGAGATGGCCACGCAAATAGCCAAATTGCATGTGGAAAAGGAATATGCCGTTGTGGGCAGCTGGGAGGATACAAACATAACATTGGCCGTGCTCGAGGCATATATACCGCGCTTCTTTGCCGATGCCACAAATCAGTATTATTGTAGGTCTTTCTAAATATCCAACCACCTTCCACTTGTCTAACACTTGTCTGTTATGTGTGTACAGCGCATCGGGACAAATTTATGATAAATGCCACGCCGCACGACAAGCACCTAGACGAGGATGTGGAGGCCTATCTGAAGCAACAGTTCGCCTACGAAATTGAGCTGTACAACTTTTGCAAGCAGCGTCTCTATAAGCAGTATATAGCCATCAGGAATAAAACAAAATATTAGTAATAACAAATCGCAGCCAATACAGGAGTAGTTTAGGGGGTCTTTTGCACGAACCCGATTTCCCGATATGAAGCCAACATTTGACTAAACAATAATCAATACGTTTAATATTTATAGTTAAAACAACAATGCTGCAACGCACTTTTGACAATTTGAAGTTTAACAAATCGTCATATTTATTAATTAATAATTAAATCTTTTAAAGAAAATTGCGGTATTACTTAATAATAACGTCGTGACGAGTCGGGAAGGTATAATAATGTATAATTTCGGAAAGACGTAACGGCATAGAATTCCCTTTGCCATTCCTCTGTCTAGAATATTGTATAGCAACTATCACCAACGAGTCTTTTCCTTTCGCTACTAATCTCAAGTGGGTATTCGGTTAGCTTGCTGATTGCACTCACTGTACCCAGATTCTGATTGAGCTCTCAACGGTGCGCCTCGATCATTTGCAGATACTTCAGCTGAATGCCAATGAGCTGAATAACACCAAGAAGGCTGAGATCGATGTGCTCTTCTATAATCGCGTACCCAAAACGGGCAGCATGCAACTTATAGAACTGATGCGAGCCCTGGGCAAAGTACACGACTATGAGGTGGAGAAAGATCCACAGAATGGCGGCATTCGGCCATTGCTCGACGCCGCCGAGGAGGGCGACTGGATAGATAATATCGTTAATCTCGAGGATGGCACCGTATTTGCCAGTCATGTGAACTATTTGAACTTCAGCAAACACGAACAGCCGCGACCCATTTACATCAATATGGTGCGTGATCCGGTTGACCGCGTCATCAGTTGGTATTACTATATACGTGCCCCATGGGTATTTGTGCCGGGTCGTCGTCGTCACAATCGCGAAATGCCCAATCCCCAATGGGTCAACACCGAATTCGATCAGTGTGTACTGAGCGGTGAAAAGGTCTGCACATACATTGAGGGCTCCCTCCTGGAGCGAGTGGGCGATCATCGCCGTCAAACCCTGTTCTTTTGTGGCCACAATGAGTTCAAATGCACGTGAGTGGTTAACGTCTTCTGTATTGTTATCCCAGACCATAATTACCTAAAAAAAAAAAAAAACACTTCAGGCCCTTCAACTCGCGGCTGGCCCTGCAGTTGGCCAAACAGAATGTGGAACGCGAATATGCGGTTGTGGGCACTTGGGAGCACACAAATGAAACTCTGGCCGTTTTGGAGGCTTATGTACCGCGCTACTTTGCGGATGCCTCCAAAATGTACTACTGTAAGTACTGGAAAGACACAATTCATCGTCGTCTACAATAATTACGCCATTTGCAGCGGGTCTACACGCCGCCAAAGCGAACGACAATCCCATGAAGCCTCACATTCGGGATGAAATTATGAACATGGTGCGCCGCAACTTCACGCGGGAAATCGAGTTCTATCAATTCTGTCGCCAACGTTTGCATAAACAATATCTGGCACTAAAACTCAATGAACTGATGCGCGTGGACAACAGTTTAGTTCAATTGCAATCTGCCAATGAGCTAGCCGTCAGGAATTAGTTAGTCGAAAGCTAAGTTTAGATATAGAATCCAATAAATCAATATTCAAAGATCTGCAAAGAACTGAAATACCAATAGAAATTCTAAACTGTAAAGATCTTTTATTTAATTGATATACCATCAGCTTTTTTAGTTCATAATATAATTCGATTCTGACTGGAATTATTATCTTGGATATTGCTATCGCTTACCTCTTGGTCATTGTCTTGACGAACCTATGAACTTATTTAATCACCTTGCCTGAACTGCTTTGAAATAGTTAAGAGATCTTCGCCCACTAACTTGAACTTAAGCTCAAGACTAACCTAGGGTGAACTCCCAGTTTGCAACCAAAGCCTAAATGAAACTCGAAACTACTTTCAACCGAACTGCAGCTGCAACGTCTGAACGCCGAGCGGCTAAACAATACGCGGAATGCTGAAATCGATGTGCTCTTCTTCAATCGTGCCGCCAAGGTGGGCAGTGAAGCCCTACTGGAACTGTTTAATGCCTTGGTAGAGTATAACGATGATCTGATATTGGAGCGCAGCGGTCTTCATGAAAATACAGTGAGACAAATGGATAAAGAGGCGCAACAAGAAGCTGCCGAGTTTGTGTCTGGCCTGGAGGAAGGCACCATTTACATACGGCACATTAACTGGCTGGACTTTAGCAACTTTGATTTGCCGCAGCCCATCTATATAAACATGGTTAGGGATCCAGTGGAGCGTGTCATCAGCTGGTTCTACTATGCACGCAGCTCCTACAAGAATGCCATCGAGTATCGCAAGGCGCCGAACAAGAAAATCAAGCCCGCGTCCTGGTACAAAAAGAACTTCAATGATTGTGTACGTAGTGGAGATCCCGAATGCCAGTATGTACCACATACCGTAAAGGATTACGTTCCAAACTTTAAAAGACAGTCGCTCTTCTACTGTGGCCATCATGACGACTGTATGTAAGTAGAGAGAGGATTTGCCACCTTGAGCCCGGCTAATGCTTCTGAGTACCCTTTGCAGTCCCTTTAACTCACCCACAGCCATACAAATGGCCAAGGAGCATGTGGAACGGGATTATGCTGTGGTGGGCAGCTGGGAGGATACGAACATAACGTTGACTGTCTTTGAGCGCTATATACCACGTTTCTTTACCGGTGCCAAACTGATGTATGAGAGTAGGTTGCAGCTATCATAGTTGTCGTCCCAACAGATCTCGTTAACCATTTCTCCCTTTACCAATCAGTGCATAATAACAAGATCACAAATCGGAATAAGAACAAGCGAAAGCCCTACATTGAGCCAGAGGTCAAAGAGATGATAAGACGTAATTTCACATATGAATATGAGTTTTATCATTTCTGCAAGCAGAGGTTGTACAAACAGTATTTGGCACTCAACTTGCGTGAGCTGGAGAAGCACGGACTGTTGAATTAGTTTTGACTAGCACTCTATATGTATTAAAAAATACTTTATTAGAAACAAAAAAATACAAAAAATACTCGCAAATCTTTCTTTCTCTGTGTGCCCATTTTGTGTCTAATTCCATGTTTTGTGTCACCTGCACGTTCTCCTTTTAATCCTTCCACTCCCAATCCGATTCCCAACCAGTTGCACAGCCTGACGCCACAGCAGCTGAACAACACGGCCAAGGCAGAAATGGATCGTTTGTTCTTCACACGCTGCGCCAAAGTAGGCAGCGAGTCGCTCATGGAGTTCATGGAGAATTTACAGCAGATCAACGACTTCGAAGTCGATCGCCTGGGCCTTAAGAAGTCGGTACGTCAGCTCTCGCCCAGGCAACAGGCCGAAAGGGCCGACCACATTTACAACTCAGAGCCGGGCACTGTTTATATCGAGCACACGTCCTGGATAGATTTCAATGCCTTCAACCTTCCTAAGCCCATTTACATAAATCTAGTGCGCGATCCCGTCGAACGCGTCATCAGCTGGTATTACTATGTGCGCAATTCCTATCTGAATGCCATATTTTATCGCAAGAATCCAATGGCTACCCTCAAGCCTACCGCTTGGTTTAAGAAAGACTTTAACGAGTGCGTCCGCAGCGGCGACCCGGAGTGTCAATATGTGCCCCTCACAGTGAAAGATTATGTGGGCAACTATAAGCGACAGTCGCTTTTCTTTTGTGGTCACGATCGGAATTGCTTGTGAGTTATGTTGGCCCCTTTAACCCATTAACATGCAGTCGGACTTTCGAAATAGAAAAAAAAACAACTCCTAAATTGTCATTAAATTGCATACTTATCGTTTTATGATAATTTCTATATGAAGTAAAGATATTTTTCTAAATGCGAAAGTCTGCCTCCTTAAGGTAATGGTTAATGGGTTTGAGTGCTTGGCCAGCAATTTCTTTAGTTTTATGAATGCTTTGCAGACCCTTTGACTCCCCATTGGCCATACAAATAGCCAAACGTAGGGTTGAAGAGGAATATGCGGTTGTGGGCAGCTGGGAGGAAACCAATATTACGCTAACCGTACTGGAGCATTATATTCCGCGTTACTTTGCGCGTGCCACGACTTTGTATCCATGTAAGAACCTGAAACTAAACAATGTGGAAGTGCTAGAGTTATATATTCTATAATTTACAGTGTATCAGGATAAACTCCAAAACCGAAATCGAAACAACCGTAAGCCCAAAATTGATGCAGATGTTAAAGCTATGATCAGGCGTAATTTCACCCACGAATATGATTTCTACTATTTCTGCAAACAGCGTCTCTTTAAGCAATACATTGCTCTGAAGCGTACAGAACTGGAACGTCTCAATTTTACATAGACTTCTCTCGTTTTAAATCGATCGATGCTATTAGAGCACACATCTCATCAAATCCAAAGTTATCTACAATTAAATATTAGTAATCTTAAACGTACATATTTACAGGTTTATTAATAAAAGACTTTCCTTTAAAATTCCTAAATATTTCTAAGAGAAATAGTGTTAAAAGATATCATATGTAGGGTTGCGAACCCCATAAAAATGACTTCTAGTTCAAATCGTTTTCCTACCTTAGGAATTAGAATTAGAATTAGTTCCCCGAGTGGAGAGTGCAGTCACTTGAACTGCAATCGCTTTCACAGTTTCAGACAACATTATTTGTGACTCATCCTAGCTTAATCAAAATCCTTTGCGTGTTATCGATCACAAATCATGCTACAATATGCCAAATGATAACCTTCTTAGCTGGTCAATGTAACCACTCTGCGCTTAAACAATACACGCCGTTCCCGCCTCCAAGTGGTCTTCTTCAATCGCCCAACACGCGTGTGTACCGAGCAACTGGTTCCGCTCTTGCGGCTTCTAGCGGATCATAACGATCTGAACCTGGTGCTCAATGGACCGGTGCGGAGTATAAGCCGCATTCGCACGGCCAAGGAGGAGGAAATTGAGGCCAAGTGGGTGAGCCAGCTGGAGAAGGACACACTTTACATTGCGCACGGCAACTGGATAAACTTTACGCAATATGAGCAACACAAACCCATCTATATATCACTGGTGCGGGATCCAGTGGAGCGCATGATACAGAACTTCTATGAGCAACGCACTCGGCAGAAACTGATCGTAAGTCGTAGCATCTATCCGGGCTATCCACAGCGCACAAATGCCTGGTATAAACAGAGCTTCAATGAGTGTGTGCGCAGTGGCAGTCCAGAGTGTCAATATGTCAAATATTCAATCGAGGATGCCGTGGAGGATTTCAAGAGACAATCCCTTTTCTTTTGCGGCAATCATGAGGATTGTTTGTAAGTAGAGTGAAGCTTTAGATATGCCTTTATGTCGGAATGCAGCAAATACTTCCCAACTGTAGACCCTTCAATACGCATCAGGCAGTGCAAGTGGCCAAGCGCAATGTGGAAAAGGAATACTCCGTTGTGGGCACGTGGGAGCAGCCAAACGTTACCCTGACAGTGTTGGAAAGGTACATTCCGCGGTATTTCAATCATGCACCATATCTGCATAACTGTAGGTTACCCATCCTTTATTCCTATCCCAGTTCCAGCTCCATTCTATCCTCTTTTTTCAGTGCACAAACATAGCTACAGTAAACCCAATCGCCAATATGCAATCGATGCCGATGTTAGGGCTATTGTAAGGCGAAATTTTACCCGGGAATATGATTTCTACTATTTCTGCAAGCAGCGTCTATATAAACAATATTTGGCACTGCAGCTGGAGCAGATTATCGCTTGAATCAAAATCCTCCGTTTGAGGGAGGAACACAAGTGAAATCGCAAATTGTACCAAAATTGCATTTATAATAAATATGTATTTATTTTAAAAAAATATCCAGCTGTTTTCCTTAAATGTCAGATGATTCTTGCCTTGTTGCATTTAAATATATCTAGTTAACGCTTTGTGACCTCTTAAAAGTGTGTGTAGTGGTAAAGCAACTTAAAGCTGTATTCGCTTTCAAACTAATTCCTACAGATCTCACTAGAGCTTTAAGTTCAGAGTTCTAGAAATTTGACTCTATTACATAGAGGAATTATATCCTCTTGAAACGATTTCCCCACAGAACACCAATTAAATATCAAACACCAAGGAATGTAAGGTAACTATGGATTATGCTGATGTGGAATGGCACAGAAGTTAGGAAACACTCCCTGAATATTATAGGATACACTTTTTAATACAAGCATTTCTTATGTCAGATGTCATCGCTTAATGTACGGGAGCTGAACAATACTCGAAAGGCTCAAATGGAGCTGGTCTTCTTCAATCGAGTGCCAAAAGTGGGCAGTCAGACGTTTATGGAGCTGCTTCGTCGTCTCTCGGAGCGCAATAATTTTCAGTTTCATCGCGACGCTGTCCAAAAGGTGGAAACCATACGCCTGGCTGAGGATCAGCAACAGGAGATGGCCGAAGTAATCAGTGAGCTACCAGAACCCTCAGTATTCATAAAACATGTCTGCTTCACGAACTTCACCAAATTCAATTTGCCGACGCCCATTTATCTGAATGTGGTGCGGGATCCCGTGGAGCGTGTAATTAGTTGGTTCTATTATGTGCGTGCTCCGTGGTACTTTGTGGAACGAAAGGCCGCCTTTCCAGATCTTCCCCTGCCGCATCCAGCCTGGCTCAAGAAGGACTTTGAGACATGCGTCCTTAGCGGTGACCAGGAGTGCACCTACACACAGGGCGTCACAGTTGAGGGCATTGGCGATCATCGCCGTCAGAGCTTGTTCTTCTGCGGACATGATTATGAGTGCACGTAAGCTCTGCAGATCTGAACTGATAAGCTGTTTTGATTTAATAAAAATTGATGTCTTTAACAGTCCCTTTAATACTGTAGGCGCCTTGGAGCGCGCCAAGTTTGCCGTGGAGCAACAATATGCGGTAGTTGGAGTACTGGAAGATTTCAATACAACACTCTCAGTGCTGGAGAAATATGTGCCACGTTTCTTTGAGGGCGTGCGAGATATCTATGCCAGTAAGTAAATGAAATAAAAAGTAAAATATCAAATTCTATTGGATGTATCTCTATACTATCGTATTCCTTTTGTTATTACCAGCAAGCGCCGAGTATCTGACCAAGATCAACAAAAACAACTTTAAGCCACCGGTCAGCGAGCATGTCAAGGATATTGTGCGTCGCAATTTTACCAATGAAATCGAATTCTATCAGTTCTGCCGCCAGCGACTGCATAAACAATATCTGGCCGCCCATTTGCCGCAAAGGATTATAACAGCGCATCCGGCGGCTTTGGGGCGCAATTAAGTCTGCCCTATTGTTCGAAATTGTGTAAAACATTTGTATAAAATATAATCGATCCTGTAGTCAACTGCGCTACCCCTTCCTCCATTCAATTCGCACATATTGTAGTAAATAATTGTTTATCATTGTGTATATTTCAAATTGGTTATAAAAGTTATTCATATGTTTATTAAATATATAATAACATATACATATTTATATTGTTTAGTTAGTGATTATGAAAAATGCATTCGAATTGTGATGTCTTCAAGTGAACTGTTAAAATTGTTTGTTTTTAAATACCTAATTTTAACTAGAATTAAGAATTTTAAGCTCACAAACTGTAAAAATAATAAACGCTATCATAAGATCTATGAACTTTGTGTTTTCAAAGACATGAGAGAATTTCGACTCAAGATTAAAAGTAAAATCTTATACAGAATTTAGTCCAATGAATTAACGTATTTTATATACATTTTTTAGAATCAACTTTTTTACAATTGCAACACGTAAAAGCTCTGATATGAAGTAGAAATGTTAAATCATAATTGTCTGTTGACTGCAGACTCAGTATTTAGTTCTCAACATTTTTTACACGTTTTCTTATATAACCCTATGGAATTCGTTAATAGAAGTTGACATCTGATTTTACACAATGATTGTTTGCAAAATTCGTATAAAAGTTAACCCTCTGAAATTATGAAATATATTTTCCACACAAAGAGATAACCAAATATAATAATTATATATAATTTTTCATGAAAAATTAATGATATGACAAAGCAAGCAGAATATATTGTTATAATTTACAACAATAAAATATCTGCGTTGGGGAACATGGAAATGTTTTAATTTAAAAAATTAAAGCATTTCAAGTCGACTCGAAGTTCATTTTAAAAAATGAACCCATTGCGATTGCAATGGCCTCCTCGTGGTGTTCCCTGGGTACCGAATATGCATATATCGGCAGCTAATTCGAGCGGCGACTTTCAATAGGTAAAATATTAGATCTATTCGCTTATTGGCGAGGATCTACTATTTTATAACTTGATAATATTTGAAATAAAAAAGGTCTTTTCACATTTATTTCATTAAATTCTTTTACTGGGTCAAAAGTAAAATATATTAAATATATATATATTACTTAATATTAAATATTTTTTAAACTAAGAAAAATCGCTTCAAGCGGTGCTAATCTCAGTAATAAAATTTATAGGTTATAGCGTCGGGTAGGTCAGTTGTTTATTTTTCAGCATGATTCTTGGCAGCATATAGAGTTTACATTTCCCTGAGTGTTATTGTTATGTCTAATGTAATGTCTTTCCAGATTGGTTAACAAAAAATGGTTTTCATATTATTATTTAAAAATTGATGTGAATCAAGAGAAAATTGTTTACGTGCATAATCTAAACAACTAAATCTAGGAAATAAACAAAGGAGTAAAACATTTAACATGAATTATACTGAGTACTAAAATATAATGTGAGTAACAGTTATTGAACGAAATTGGGAGAATACAAATTAGTTTTTTGAAGACTGATGACTTTCAAATCCAACGCTACAGCAACTTATAGCATGCTGTGATTAAAGTCGGCGTAGTTGATCGATCAATCTTGCGCTTCTTACTGTGAAGAGGGATTGCAAAATTGATAAAACTAGTATTTGCTTTGTTTAAATGACTCAGACCTACCTCTTATCACCATACAGTGGATAGAACTTATCAGGTTTCATGTCAACACCCGGACCAACCTTAATTCGCTTCACGCATACATAAGTCGGATTCTTATCATCGCAGGCAGATGTCTCGACCCAGCGCTCTGGAGAACGCAGGTAGGCCGTCACGGGATCGCAGTTAATCATCTGCAATACACGCTCATCGTATAAGGCCAACCACTCCTTTGAGTCAGCCCTCACGCTCATCAGATGGGGCTGACAGCGTCGCACAATCTTACACAAGATTTGATCATAAGCCAGAGCCTTGGGCAGCTGATAAGCGCCAATATGAAGACGCCAGCGGGCCACATAGAGTTTGTATATAAGATGATAGTCATCATAGCGGTACTGAATACACTGGCCATCCGGCGAAACGCGAGCCTTGAGAAATACATCATCAAATTGCATCTCATCCTCACTGAGCAGATTCAGTCGTTTATTGTCGCGCCGTAGATAATCCCACTTGTCCACATCGAGACCATTGCGACTGTTATGCACAATATCAAAAATGTAGCCATGCCCCATCATTGGATAAGTCAACAGTTCACTTTTGCCAAGTATCAGCGCTTTGATTAGCTGCACACCACGTCCATTGTTGTCGTCGCGAAGTGTGCGCAATTTCTTGCTGTTCATGTCGCCAAAGATTTTATCCACGCAGACCAATCCGTTTTGCTCATGCTAGGCGCAAATGAAAGGTAAATTAATTCTAACATCATTTTGAATACGAGCAGCAACTCACATCGAAGCTTTCGCCACAAACTTGTTCCCAGTAATGCGAAAATGGACCATGTCCAACATCATGAAGCAGCGCTGCAATTTCCACCGCCTCTCGGCACCATTCCGGCAATTCGCGATCATAATTTGAATTTCGCTTTAAGGCATTCAGTAGATCTTTCGCGCTCCTGTATGTCCTACAATTTAACTGCAGTTAACGCTTTTTCTTATAATATTGGATATTGCTTACCCTATGCAGTGATCATAGCGGGTGTGTGTGGCCTCCGGCTTGGCAGTCACCGACAGCAGTCCCAGTTGTTGAACTTTTTTGAGACGCTGGAACAGGGGATGATTCACTAACTCTTCGATGTGGCTTGGAATTTCAATAACTCCATGAACTTCATCCTCGATGAGCATCTAAAAGAAAATATTTTCTTATCAGTTGAACTTATTGATGTCACTAGCTCAGTACATTTAGTAAGAAGAAAAGGAATTGATTGCCAAAAACTGAAACTTTGCTTTTATTCTTGGACACATATGTGTCGCCTCGACAAGCAAATGAGAACTGAGAAATTCAACTGATGAATCCAAGATTTTTTACTGGCTAGGCAAGTTCCTCATAAAAATCATTATAGAAAGTTTGTATGCTCGCCACATGAGAGGTTTAAGTGGTTTACAAAGTACCCAATTCTAACACAAGGCATTCATGGCCATTCAGTGTGCATGCGTCCATATGGATAAAATTTGAAATTCAAGCTTGGATCACAATAGACCTGAAAGAGTTAAACACAAAAGAGAGCTATGAGCTAATATGCAACTAAACTAAATGTGACAACTCCACACAGCTTGTTCCGTAGCATACAGAGTGATAGCTGCGATATGCCCAACTGCATGGAATGCAACTGGAGGGGATAATCAGCTGTTCTCCCAGCTAGACACGGTTTCCATGACAACCAGATTGTTGGCTTGGGTTCTGATTGAGATTGGTGGGCATGCCTTAGATTTAAATTAATAAAAAAGCGCACTTACATATGGAACTGCTGCTGCCGCATCGCTGCTCGACTGCTGCTGTCGCAATTGAAGCTGCTGCTGCTGAATTGAAAGAGCAGGCAGCTCCGTGCCATGCTGCGACAGGGAGCTGCAATCACACAACAAACTGGCTGACATCTGGTATAGCTGACTTCGCCGTCGCTTCTGTTGGCATTTGCAATGGAACAGAAGAGCGAGGCGGCGATAACGCAACAGAAGAAACGTTTTGTTTGTGTTATATTACGTTTTTTTTACCAATCACATTTGTAAACAAATATAAGAATGATGTCAACGGGAGCACAATCAACGTCAAACCAAGTCAGCTGTTTGCCGTGAGCTTGGTCAGGGCTGCCAAGCAACGCGCTTGCTTGTTGCCAGGGCTGCACTGCATGTGCGCAGAAAAAGCTTATTTCATTTTCAGTTCACAAAAAAAACTTTTGATGTTAAAAAAAAAAACGAAAAACACAAACATTTCATGAAGGGAAATCAACTTTTTTCTACTAATTTATATTGGAGCAAAATTACCACGACAGTTTAAAAGTATGCCACAGTTTATATTGAGTATTATTGCCTAAAGTAGGCAACATTAGTATATATATAAAATAATAGCAGTATTTTAAATGTATCGAACCAAAGTTTCTATTTTTTTCAATTTATTTATAAACAAAATAAAAAACAATTTTGGGCATTGGTAATTTGCTATAAACGTTTAAGAGAAAATAATGGCTTTGTGTGCTAGCGACATAAATGTGTGCAAATATAATTTAAACTCCTTGAGTCGATAACATAAGCTATTGAGTATAAGAGTATCAAGTAGAATATAAGCACGGCAAATTTCTAACATATTTATATCCAAATCAATGTCACACGCTTTATCAAAGCAATTGCTATTTAAACCGGCTCATAGACACATTTGCCCGCCAAGAGTTCGGGGAAGCAGGCGGTCAACATAGAATAGGTTTTCTCAGAGAGCGCCGTCGCATTCAACTGAAAGCGAAAGTACCTTTTGACCTACAGCTGAAAGTGTTCTGTTAGAAGAGCGAATTATCCAAAGAGCATGCAATAAACAAAGAGGCATATAAAGAGTAAAGAGAGAGAGATATGAATAGCATAGCGGTACGGTTCGTTCACATGATTGTTTAGATAATTTTTTTGAATTACGTTTGAATACAATGCCCATTCCAGCACACACAAAAATACATACATATGTATACCTGCAACTACTTTTACACATATTACACATGCTTGTATGTATATATAAACTGTAATTGCAATATTGCAGCAAGCAGGCCAATTGCGGTCAACGCACCTTTAAGATAAGAGAGAGCAAAGAATATTCAAGGCATAAAATACTATACATATGTGCACGAATGTATTTACTTGCATGCAAACATACATATTTGTATCATATGTACACAATAAAGCATAGACAAACTGGCAGCTGGTAAAAATAATAAATACCTACATGTGCAAATTAAAAACAAACTGAAAACTATACAAAGCAATGAAAAATGCCTTTAGCAAACATTAAACAAAACAATAACATTTAAAAATAAGGTAAAAAAAACGCCGGCTCCACACTTGACTGAATGGAGCGAGATAAAGAGGTTACAGAGAAAAAGAGCGAGGCACAGAGAGAAGCACATTTTGTCACAGTGGGACGAGAATAATTGGCATAGCCTCATTTCGACATCAC